TTTTTTTGTATCATCGACACTTATAAATTTACAGGTGATCATGTATTGTGTTAAATTATATTTCTGGAAAATTTAAGGGGTAGTTATATAATAATTTTGGACGATCTTGGGCGGTCGGATATTTATGACCGCTACTGTATGCATACTTAAAGATTAATGATATATATTTTTATAAAATTTAGAAACTAAATTTTTATATTTATAAATGCTTATATTATGGATAACTTTTATTAAATACTTTTATTATTTTTTATAGATTATTATTATAAAGATTCTCTATAAATTATTAATATAAAACTTTCTTTAATTTTTTAATAAAAGTAAATTAAAGATTAACTCTTTCCTTTATTTTATCTAAAAATAATAAATCTGATTTTTTAATTTTTTTTAATTTTTTCTTATTTTTTATTTAGTAATATTCTTAAGCTTATTATCTAAAATTTGTCACAAATTTGAAAATATTTATCTATTCTTTAAATCATAAAACCTAATTGTATTAAACATAAGTATTCTTAATAATTTCATTTCTACTATATACTGTATTATAAAATGTTTTATTTGCCTTTTTTGTTTTAAAAATAGATTATTTATTTATTAATTGATAAATTTGGTATAGTATATATTTTGTAAGTTTTTAAAGATCAAGTGTTTGAATAATTTATATAGAACAGACCTAGTTTATAATTTTTTTTGAAACCAATTTGGTTAAAAAAAAAAAAATAAACAAACTTTAAATGTTCATTACTGTAAATGCTTTATTTTTTTTTTTTTTCAAATAATAGTAGTTATAACTTGTTATTATATTTGGGACAATCACTATTTCACAAGTATACCGTACGTACATAAAAAAATTTAAGTTTTAATGACTTCGTACAAAAAAAGTTCTATACTATTAGTCTTTGTTAGGAGTTTCCAGCCTTTCACCATCTCTGGGATAATAACATTTTGTACGAGCTAAATAACTGTCTTGTAAATTCCAATTAGCAACTTATTATGTATGATTCAGGTATACAAGTGATAAAAATTTTGTGCGAATGAAGCTTCTTTAATTCAAATTCAATGATATATTATTATGTTCGGAGCGAACTGACTTAAATTTTCCGAAATCTCTGAAGTATCATTAGTTTATATTCCAAATATCTTTCGAAATTACGTGGAAGTCTTATTAGAAATAATAAATATGATTTGACCCATGTCTACAATATGACTCAACCGCGACAAAACTGGGGTAATATTTAATTGGAATTTTAATGTATCGGTATACTGCATAAAATTATACAATAAGGATTATCGAATATCTATATGTTGTATAACGGTCAGTTCTATTAATGCAAAAATTAAAAAATGCAAGAATTAATCCTGCTTGAGGACTTACTTTTTCACGGTCTTGTTGAATATTCATATTAATCATTTTCAGAATTTGATTTTCATGAAAATGTTCTCAAATAATGTGAGAAAGTAAATATGATTGTGTGATAATTCTCGTAAAAACAAAAAGAAAGAAAAAAAAGCTATGATTTTTGTCCGGTTTCTTCCGACACGTAACGATCAAGCATTTGACGTTTTCTTCTTCGTACTAAATATTCTTCTACGTCTGTTTGAGACGGCACGTCAACATGTGCCATATATTTTTCTGATGATGAATCAATGTCCATTGGAACATCCTCTATTTGTGAGGTACCCTCTTTTTTCTTTTGTATTGATTTGTCTTTAAGAACTGTTACATCTGGTATTTCTAAAGCTTCGGCAATAACTAATTTATAAAAACAAGATATAGAATTATAACCTTAAAAAAGATCGTAAAAATCCTTGATTGTATTATGAATTTTCATACCCCCATTTTCGACTTCTCGCTCATATTCTAACAAAGTTGAATCTTCTTCATCACGATATCCATAATAATCCGCATCTACATTTTTATATAAATCAAATCTCGTACGTTTTTGTGGAGTGGGAACTAATTTTTATAAATATATATTAATAAGTGATGTATAAAAAATATTATGGAATCAAGTAAATTAATTATTACCATCTTGCTCAAATAATTCTCTTACTCCAGGCAAGTCTTTTGCTCTTCCAAAATACCTTTAAAACGGAAAATTTATGGTTATAATTGTTAAAAACATTTTTTTAATTATACATACATACTTGTAACCTCTATTTCCTGGTACTTCTTTACCTTCATCATCCAACATTTTTGGGCCCACTCTCTAGAAATTGTGAAATTTATGAACATTTTAATATATTTTAAGAGGAAAATAATGATAAACGAAATATTTATTTACTTTATAATCTGGACCACCCAGTTTTTTTATTTGATCATCCCAATGACCCTTTTCTCTCATTAATTTATTGATTTCATCATTCAGATCTCTGATCTGATAATCCGACAGGCCAGCTATACATAGAATTTTTTAATTAAATAAATTAAGGTTAAAAGAAAAGAAGTTAAAAAATTTTGTTAATTACCATCCTGAATTTTTGACACTTTTCTAGAAATTTCTCTTATTATTTGTTGTCGCCATTTCTCCGCGTCTTTCAAATTATTACAATCTGAGGCCAAAAAAGGTCGACGCTCTTTTGGCTTTACTAATCCGAGTTGAACAGCCTGAGCCTCCCGAAACCGGTAAAGCATAGATCTAAATTACAAATGAAATTTTTAACTTCTTTTATTGTATACATATAATGAAAATAAAAACTGGAAAGAAGCTTACTGTGCTTTTTCTTCATTACGAGCCTTAAAGTATGATCAATTAAAAATAAACAAATAATAAAAACACCACAACGGAATACAGATAGGTTGTACTTACCATTTTGAAAAAGATTTCATAAATGTTGAGAACGAATTACGCAGTAAACTTAAAAAAAAATGATAATATGTCATGTAGTTCTTTGTGTCACCAAAAAAAAAACGAGCATCAACAGGATGGCTTGCACAACATGAAGGGGTTGAAGCTGTTTTTAGATTTTTGTCATATTGTCGTTACTTAAAGAAGGCGTTCTTTGAACTTCTTTGGTTTAGTTATCATACAGTTATAATGTAGAAAATTTTTATTTGCTGAGGATTTCAATTGATTTTTATAACTCGCCCCACTCACGTTTTTAAAAACCTGATATGCTAATGATCATTCGTATAGCTCTACCAACCATAAAAAGATAGCAACTATGATAAGCCTTTTTTTTTTGGACTCTTGGTTTCCCCTCAAAATTATTTTTTAGATTTTTTTTTTTTTTTTTTCTTCATTTACCACTTCTTTCTTTCTCTGTTCTTTCTCTGGGGAATGTAAAAGAGTATCAGTGAAATGTCTCCCGTAGTAGAACTTTTATTAGAATCTTCCCAAGAACCCACAAGTCAAGTAAAGAATTTATCAACAAGTGAATATAAACAAGAGAGTAAAGAAGAAATGCAGCAAGTACCACAAAAACAAACGACTTCTTCGTTCAACATCATGTCAATGTTGAATCCGGCACCATCACCTTCTTACAAGTCTTCGTATTCAAACGCTTCGAAGGTAGGATCTCCAGTACAGCAAGAAACTCAAACGCACTCGGCGTTACCTCCTGCTTCGTCAATTACTCAACCTTTTTACGGTTCAGGAAATCTTCCACCACAATCCCCACAGACTCCAAATCTTCCTTTAAATTTAAACACTTTACGACTACCTCCTCCATACCCGGTAAACCCGACTTTCCAGTCAATTTCACCACCTCCCACTTTTTCAAACTCCTCTTGTTCACCAATTGGTTTTGGTTATAACTATGCTATTAATAAACAAAGTTTTCCGACAGTTGGTTTTAATAACGTTACGAATGTCACTCCTTTATCACAAACAAACACAAGTTCTTTAACCTCCATTTCAGTAACGACCACGCCAACTACTTCTCATTCACTTATAAATAATAACTTGTCATTATCAAATACACCTTCCGCAAATTTTAATACAAGACCCACAGTTAATCACTCTACGCCTACGTCAAGTGCCAATTGTGTGGAAGCGGAAGAAATAACTCCGACTATAAATAAAAATAGCCACCACAGTTTACAAAGTAATAACAACAGTAATAATACCGGCACAGCTAACAGCGTTACTACTGTTCGTAAAACGTCCATTCCTTCCGGCGAGTCTGACGGAATGCAAATAAAGGACCAACCTAATAGTATCGTGGAGTATTCTACAAATTCAGTCCAAGAAGTCGAGTATGTAGAATATGGTCCTTCATGCCCTACTACTCCCAAACATGAGACTATGGAGGTAGACGACGACGACGACGAAGAAACCCACTTTGTTTCTGGTTTAGACCAGCTAGCTAGTACAGCTCTCAATGAACTTCAAAATATGAGAAGAAAAGAACTGGAAACGAGTGAAGTCGAATCAGTTGAAGAAAATGTTCCTTCCCAAGAAGAACAGGATTCTCTTCCAGCTTCTCCGTTCGTCGAACATTCCTTCTCACCGATGAAGACACTTGTATCACCGCCATCATATGAAAGTACTACGGGAAGTACACCTGCGCCCCCTCAAACAGATTCAGAATTTCCGCAGTATGAATATGAAGAAACGTCTGGTGAAACTACTGAGACTGATAGCGATGGAAGTAGCTCAAGGGAAGCAACTACTTCTAATAAAGCTGCTTCTAAACGTGTTGTTAAGAAAAGTAAAAGCAAGAAATATTTAACGAAGGCTAAAGGTAAAGAAAAGAAGGATCGACAAACCAAAAATCGTAAATATAAAATAAAACGGGAAGATCCTGAAACAGTATCATCTGATGATGATAAACCACAAAAACGTAAGCCTTCAATCAACCGACCGAGAATACCTCCATTAAAGAGGAAAGCTACTTCCCAGTCTGTCCACAGTAGTAGTAAAAATAAGAGACTTAAAAAAGCATCGTCATCTCCACATTTTCGTTCAAGAACTACTTCCAATAATTCAAGCGTCAATAATTCTCCACGCTTGCAACCTCAGGCCGAAATAACTACAGTTGATGATATGGTTATCGTAGTTGCAAAAAAGGTGCAACACTACTGTATATGTAGATCAACTGATGGTGAATCATTTATGATTGAGTGTGACAACTGTGATGAATGGTTTCATGGTGACTGTGTCAACATTTCACGGGAGGAATCACAGATGGTTGATAAATATTATTGCCCGAATTGCACAGGTATTATTATATGGTCCGTAATTTGATTGGTATTTGTTATTAGAGTTGATTTCATTTCTAACAATCTTTTATTTGGTTTATATATTTACGTGTGAATATTTAGATTTGGGACATAAAACATCATGGAAACCTGAAAAGTGTAAATACCCGCCTTGCAAAAAACCTGCAAGGTTTGTAAAAACTAAATTCTGTTCAATTAAGTGTGGGTTATCATGGAACCGCGAACTTTTGAAAAAGGAAGAAAGACTTGCAAAAATGGGCAAGTTATTAAAACAAAAGGTTAAGGACAATAAAGATAGAAAAGGTCGCGTAAAACGAAATGTAACAAATCGCGCCGGACATTTAGAAGATAGTGAACATTTGAAGAAGATTTCCAGACGGAAAGATTCAATAAAAAGAGAACTAGAAATAATCGACAAACGTAATAAAATAACAGTAAAAGGTTCAGAGAAGTCACAAAGTGATAGTGAACCAGATGACAGCAACCGATCATCTCAAGATGTGCCCTGCGAATTTGATAAACAATCCGAAAGTGATGTTAATATTCGCAATGGACAAATCTGTGGATACAATCCGCGCTTAGATTGGGTGGATAATGACGTTAAAGAAAAAGTTGGTGCTGTTGAAGAAGTTTGTTCTGCACCAAGGGGAAAATGTAAAAAGCACGGCAGTTGGCAAAAACGTCGAATTACTCAGATAGACTTGATGAAAGCGAGCAAAGTTAGTTTTAAATTTAAATTTTAATTTTTTTTGTAAATTCGTAAATTCGAATAAATAATAAATCGCACACATTCAAAATTTTACATTAAAAATTTAGATTGAAAGGCTTGAAGATCTTTCCGAGAAACAAAAACTTATCAAGGCACGCATGAAGAAGCGAACTGATATGCACGATGCATTCACAAACCAAACCATCGATCATACAGCAAACAGAAAGAATAAGTGAGAAAATGAACTAATGTGGTGCGACTAGAAGTCGAGATATATGTATGTATATATATATTAAAAACAAAAAGTATCATTACAAAAGGTAGTAATAATGGATCAGGAATAATAAAATTTAAACTTCGTGCAAATAAAATAAAAAAAAAAACAAAAACAAAACAAAAACAAAAAAACAACAAAAAAAAAAAAAAAGACTAGCAAGAGAATTAACTATTAGAAAAATAGAATTCTATGAATTTTTTTTAAATTTGTAAATTTTTTTTTTTTTTAAAAAAAAATATAATTTTATTAATTGATGATAAAAAAATTGTAATTAAAAATTTTCATTATTTATCAAAAAGAAAAGAAAAAAAATTCTGGAATGCGAATAAAATTCAATATTTAACAACTATACTTGGCATTGTAAATCTGATGCGTAACAGATTGGGGTGAGACATTAGCCGAATATTAATTATTTAAAACGTCGAGGGTTTTACTACTTATGATAAAACAAGAACTTTCAAAATTGTAAATAAAAAAACAAATATGTGAAATAATGTTTAAATATAATTCTTATGTTTATAAATAAAACGAAATTTTATATGCTTTATAATTTCAATACCAAACAAAAAATTTCCAATTTAAAAGAATACTTAATCTGAAAACCTTTTAAATGTAGGCTTATATAAACTTATACCATTTATATACCTAAATAAATTATAATCTATATTTTATGTATATTTGATTTAAATAAACATAAAAGTACAAATCAATAATAAAAAAAAAATATAAATTAATTTATATAATAAAGATTATTTTTTAATGTTAATTTTAAAAATTAATAGTAAATACTATATTTTACAAAAAGTATAATTAATTAAAAAATAAAAATATATTAAATAAAATAAGATTCTTAAATTTTAATTAAAAATTTTTTTAAATTTAATAATTATTTTATAATTATACTATTTTATTTCTTTTTTTATTACAGTTGATTCTTCTATATAATCACTCTTTTTTATAAGCATATTTTTGTTAGGTTAAAATTAATAATAAACTTATTAAAATCTTTTTTATAATCACATTATATAAATATATACAATTTTTATAATTCTAAAGGATGTAATTATATAAAAGTTTGATTAAGTAAAGATAATTAATTTGATAATTATTAATAAAAATTATTAAATTAATTAATTAATAATTTAATATTATAAATTTATATAAATAATATAAAACATTTATATAAATAAATAAAAAATTAATCTTAAAATTAAAAAAATATCAATATAAAAATAATTATTAAATAAAATAAAAAATATAATATAATATGATAAGTCTGTTATTTGATAATTATTAATTCTATGCTTTGCTAACACCTCTTTCAAGTCTTTCTAAGTCTTATACAAAGAGAATAGGTATTTTGTATTATCTTAACCTTTTTTGCAAGTAATATAGTTAAATCACCTAGAATTTCCTAATTTTCAAGCTTTTTTTCAGTTATGTCGAGAAAGAAAAGATCATTAATTTCTTATTTACAAAAAATATTGAAATACTTTTTCTTGATCTTGAGATTCTATTCTTGCAGGTGAATAATAAAAGTGTTTGTAGTTTAATTCTTAATCAAATAAGATTTGTATTTTACTTTAACTGATATAACGTTATATTTTTTATAGGAATATTTAGCTTGAATAAAAATAGTATTACATTTTGAAGTAAGATAAAAATTTATTCTAAGAAAAGTAAGCATTAATATATGATTTTATAAGCATAGTTAAAATTTATGATGATTGGTCAATTTAAATATCACATAATCAATTTAATTATTATATAGTAATCATTTATATTATTATTTTTACTTTAAAAATAAAATATTTTACTTATATAAAATTTATATGATTTTCTTAATAACATATATTAAAAAGTTGTATATATATTCTTTAAACCTTATTTTACAAAGATCTCAAAATAGTTTTTTGAAATTCTAAAATAAAGTAGACTTTTATTAATAAAAATGGTAAATAATAGAGTTTGTATAAATAAAGGATTATATACAGTTTATGATAAGAATGATAAATTTAATGATTAATATTAAATCTATTTTAAAAGTTTTGAAAGTTTTTGAGTTTTAAAATTTAGTTATAGAATTCAAGTTACATAATCAACTTTGTAAAAAAAATTATAATGATTTAGTTATATTTGATAAAAATATTTAAAATCAAATAAAAAATCAAAACATGAAGTAAACTTAGTATATAATGATAGAGTAATAAAGCAAAGCAGATTTATTTATCATAAAAAATATATGAAAATATTAAAATTAAAGTAAAAATAGATGATTATATGCATAATTAAGATTGCTAAATAAAACCTAAAGGTTTTGCAAGTTGTCTAAATAAAAAAAAGTTAAAATTTAGTAAAATTATATTAAAACCTTATTAAAAAATTTGCGAAATTCTGAAAAAAGTAGAACTATATTAAAACTTATAAAAATGTAAAACTATATCAAAACCTTAGTAAAACATTAGCAAAACTATAGTTTAGATGTTTGCCAAATCCAAATGAGTTTAGACAAGCAATCTTACTTCAGGTAAGATTTTTCGATAGAATCAGAATTTTTGGTTATATAATTTTGATAATTTAAAATTTTTATTTTAGTAAAGAAATTAAACCTATCATTAACCTTAGAAAATAATCTATAACCTTTTGGAATTCCTGATTAGTAATTTTTGAGATAGAATTTGTACTATAAGTTTTAATATATCAAACTTTATCTATCTCTATTTCTTTAAATAAGTTAAAGATTTTTTCTTACTTAGTATTTAGAAGTTGTTGGATAATAAAATCATAAATCTGACTTTTTGTCTTTTTTTACCAACTTTATCATTAGCCATGATATCTTTAATCATAATTAAAAACTCTTTAGCATATAAATATCAGCTTAATATCTCTTTTTAATTAGCTTTTATTGTGAGATTTACTGCATTGCAGGCTCTCTGGTATAAGCAAACAATTTTTTTATTTAGGGTAAATAAAATTTCAATTACATGATTTTTCTTATTCAAAGTAAACAAAATTTCTGGAAAGTCAAAATTGCAAGATATTTCTTAAATCAATCCTTTTCCATTTTTTTTACTCACAGATTTTTCAGAAAAAAAAGTACCAGAAGTATAGTTATTTATAATTAACCTGATATCAGATTTTTGATCTTAATTAAGAAATGTTTATTCTACCTTTTTAAATTTCTTCTTCTTATTGTATCACCTTATTTTATCACTAATACTTTTCTTATGCACTCTATTTAAGAAATTATCTATTTCTATTTCTGTGATGATTTAAATATTACTACAAACTCTAATATAACAACATCTTTCTCAAATGTAAACCATTTTGTAGTTATTTAGAAATTTGTTTCAACTTTATAACCCTAACCTTAAGCTCCGTATTTTTTGCTAAAATATTTATACTATTCTTTTCTAACTCTTCTATTTTGACTATTTATTCAGTATTCTCAGCATTACACCTAGCATATTTTTTAATAATTTGTCTTAATTTCATATTTTTAGTCTCAAGTTTAATAATACACTATTTTAATACTTTAAGCTCAGATAACATGATTATTAATAGTTTTTTATATAATATGAAATATTCAATATATGTAGCAAATATAAAAATGTTTATTAATATAAAATAAAAAAATAAAACAAAGATTTTAAACTTAATTTATGATAAATAATATCTATGCTAATATATAATATGAAGCATCTTATAGCTAATTACTTCTCCTCTTTTTTAAATACTTTTGAATCTATTATTTTTTATTACTGATTGTTTTATAATATCTAACCTATTCTTTAATAATCTAATTATTATCTCTATTACCTGATTCACATTTTTATGCAATTCTTTTATCCTTTAAACTTTCTTTCAAAGTAGACTCAATAAATTAGATATTGAGTAGGCTTCTACTTATACAAGAAATTCTATCTAGGGTATAGAGACTGTAATCACAATCTCAAAGAAATAGTCATATTCTTCACTATAAACATCATCTACTTTTTATTTTTTCTTATTAGTTTAAAAAGTATTCTTATATTGTATAATATTTTATGGGTAAAAAACAGTTAGTGAAATGAGATTTAAACTTTCCTTAAACATGGCATACTAATCTGAGTGAAATTGATAGCAATTTGATATTGTTTACCTTCTATGATACAATTAATTTTTTGAGAGCTTTGATTTGAAATTCACATAATCTGTACTTTCTTCACTAATAACTTTTAATTGCGGGTTTAATAAATTTTTGCCAGTAAACTCTCTAACAATATGAATATATGTATAGAGAATAGTTAAAATATATTCACAATGAATAGCTCTGTTACTTTAATGACTAGTCCTATATTATATAACCTAAATTATATATCCTTAAGACAATGTAACTTAGTTTCATTCTTATTACTAATCTTGTAAATTTATTTTTACAAAGTAATTTACTTTACGTTAGTAATTTACAAAAGTAACTTAAGAATAAAAGAAAAAAATTTACTTGACATAAATTGCTAAAATTTAAATTAAATAAGTTTATAAAAAATATATATATATATAATATTCTTTAAAATTAAATTAAAATATTATTAATTTAAATTTAATCTAAATTTAATAAATCAAATCAAATTTAAATTTAATATATTGAATTTTAAATTTAAATTTAACAAATTAATTTAACTTAAATCAAAAATTAATTTATATTTAAATTTAAAATTACAATATTTATTTTACTAAAACTAAATTTATTCTTTTAAGTATTTGTATATTTTTTATATATAGCTAACCCTTATATAATTATCTTCTATATAATTACTTCTCCCTTATAAATATATATATATATTTTTTTATTTTAACGTGCGGTAGCTTTACATAATCTTTATTTAGAAGTAAAGTAAAATTTTACAAAATTACAAATTACAAGATAGAGAATATAAAAATTTCTATTTAGCAATAAAACTAAATTAAAATCAACCTTGTATTGTTTCAGATTAACCTACCCAAATAGACTTAGAATAGGTTCAACTATTCAGTACAGGAAGTGTAATTGCTACTGATCTAAAAATTCAACCAGTTCGTATCAAACCAAAAGAAGAAAATAAAGTATGGAGGAATACTAAAATTGTGTGATAATGATGAAGGAAAATCAGTGTTGATGAAATGTAATTTTGATCATTAAGTGAGATATTGTTGAGGTTTTCAAAATATTTGATATTATTGTAATGATCAAGCCAGATGGATTTTATTTAAGAAAATGCATAATGGTAAGTAGAAGATAGGAGGTTATTTGTTAATTGGATGTTATTAATAAGGCAGTGTATTTTGTTGAATAGAGAAAAGGATACAATTCCTTTGATTAAGTCAATAAAGTTAAGAGAGTCAGGTCGATTATTTAGAGATCAGATGGTTAAATCTAGAAATCTATAAAATTCTGAGTATCTGAGATCAATATAATGAGATATTGTATGAAAACCTTTTGGTCGAGGATATAATGTCAATGAATTGGTGTTTAATTTTAACATAAGTCCAAACATGATTAAAAGTTTCATAAGTACACGAACATTTAGGACAATTTCATGATTAGTCTTATAGATTTAAATATCTTATCTTAAGGATTTCTAAGATAGGGAGCAGTTCAAGCATGAATTTATTTTTAAATTTGCGAATGGAAGAGGCTTTGAAGGATGTATAAAAGTTGTTTTCATTATCGTTGAGAATGAATAAGGTTCAAATCTAATCAACATCTATTGTACTATATTTCTTAAAGTGTGAAAGTAGTTGTATATTATAAAAATTGATTGATCTGAGAAGGTCTTTCACAAACAATCTAGGTAAAATAAGTACAATATCTTTGTTGAAATAGAAATTATAATAGTATCTTAGAAATTTGTTATTTAGTTTGATTGGGAGACCATCAGCTTTTGCTAATGCATCAACTACATTATTATAATGATTATTTGAGTGAACTTTGACTTTGTGAAGTTCAATGGAAATGGATTTTTCTCTGATTAACTTTATAACAAGAACTAAATTGGATAAAAGGAGATTTTAAAAATGGGGTTAAAGGTAGAAGAGAAGGTGTAGAAGTAGTTCATTTTATCAAAAGATGAAATGACATTTTGTGAGTCTGTGAAAATATTAACTACAGCATTTGTAGGAGCTATATATATAGCAGATAGTATCGCTACTAGTTCTGCTAGAGAAGATGAAGGTTAAGAAAGAATGAGTATAGCATTAAAGAAAAGTAAAGATGCTGAAGAATCAGATTGCAACCAGGCCACACTCATACAGATCGAAGAAGTGCCTAAGTTGATAAGAGAACCATCAGTATAAAATGAGAGATTAGTTAATTATATGAAGTGACTTTTAAGATTATCTAAACTATTGAGGATTTCTATATTAAAAAATTGATCAGGTGTGAGAGATAGAGAGGACAAGGTGAGGGGGACATTAAGTGCACTATTATCAATTTAATTGTAACTATATAAAGCAATTTCATAAAACATGTAAGGAGACAAAGAACAGATATGACTAACAGTTAGAAGAAGAGGAGCCTTGATGTCAGCACATAGGTATAAAGGAAAAAGCACAAAGCAAGCTTCATATTTATTTCTCATATTAGAAGGAACAAAGGAAGAATCATCGTTAAGAGAGCATTTAGTGCATAGTAATAATAAAGTTTTGAAAGTATGGTCTGGCGATGCATTAAAATATTATAAATGAACTATATTATTTTCAATTCTGAATACCTTTCTGATTATAGCAGAATAGGAATTTAAATGCTAACTTACAGCAAAGTGTATAATACTTTTAATATAAGTCAGAGGAATTGAGTATATATTATTAGTATGTAGGTGATGATAATTTAAAGGAATAATTCTTGTATTAGGTGATGATATGAGCAATGATTGTAATTTGAGAAACTAAGCAGGAGCCTTGGGAATTGCTAGACAAGCTGCTGAAAATTTGAGGTCAGATAATGTGAAGAATGCTACATTATCTGATGTTATAATATGGTCAAGAAACATAAGTTGTTTACTTCTTAAGACTAGAGTAAAGGTGCGATAATCTGTTTTATTGAAAATCTCACATAAAGAAAATTGTCTTCCTTTTACGCAATTAGTCTCAGTATTGCTATTAGAGATGGTGATATTGAGTAATTTTAGGGCAGAGAGCAAAGCAGACTACCAGTCTTTAAATTTGAAGGAGTCATCATATAGCCAAAATGCTAAAGGTGATTTAATAAGCCATTCATTATTTTGAAGCAATCTAGAATGGATTAGAAATATAGTACCTAATAGATCTTTGTCATTGATAGATTTGATGAAGTTAAAAATTTTTGCTTGAATTTGCGCTGAATATAAGTGTATAATGTTATAAAATAATGATGAATGAATAATAGCTGCTGGGATACTTTTAGATAAATGTAGATTTAACCTAAAAACTTTTTGATATGACTCTATAATCTAATCACAGAATTTGTAATCAAGAAATATTAATTGAATGTGATACAGAATTCTTAATAAAAGGACTGAGTTAAAGACTATTTTGAGTTGTTTATCTGTAAAGAATTTCTTTTTAATTGTCAAAGTAGCATTATAAATTTCATTCTTTACTTGTTGTCTTATAAACAGACAATTGGGAGGAGAGAAATCCAAATACTGAGATAATGAGTAGATAATTTAAGGTCTATTAGTTTAATCCATTCTTCATTGTGTGTTAGTCTAAAGTGTATGGATAATGCTATCGATACTGAAGAAAGTAATATGAATTTATCCTAATTAACTAGAATACTATTAAGTTGGTAAAAGTCATCAGCTATTATTAAGATCAACTCAATATCATCCTTAGATTTACTAATCCAAAGGGTATCATCCATATAGATAAGTGTAAAAACTTGTGTTGAAATTGTAGATGTTAAGGTATTACCGATATGTAGATATTATTCAGCTGATAGATTATAACAAAGATCAGTATTTTGTATGCGATATAATAAGGGATCGTAATATATACACTAAAGAATAAGTAAAATAATTTCATCTTGATCAATATCTGAGATAACTGGGTAATAATCTATATTTCCATGAGCTGTAAAAATTTGATTAAAGTGATTAAAGAATAAGGAAAGTACAAAATGGAGAAATGATGAAGGAAGACACAGATGATTAAGCGCATAAGTTAATATTGCAATATTAACTCTGTCATAAGCTTTTGACATGTCTTAAAAAAGGATTCAAAGTTGTTTGCTCTTATGTAATAATCAATCATATTTTATATTGATGAGAATGTGAATTGGTTCAAATGTAGAACGAAATAGTAATCTAGCGAAATTGTTTCCTTGTAAGACTGAATTTTTTGAAAGAATATTCAAAAGCCATTTGTTGATTAATTTCACAATTGCTTTTTGAAGGCATTCTAATAAAGTGATAGGATGAGTATTATTTAAATTATATTCCCATAGTTTAGGTTTTAGAATGGAATAGACAAAAGTCAAATTTTATCTGTTAGGCATGCAGGAAAGTTTCAAACAGACACAAGTGAAAATTCAAAAAATATGTTTTATTTTAGAGCTTAAATGTTTTAACATCTCATTTGAAATTTTGGAAAGACCAGAAGCTTTATCATTAGGTAATGTTTGAAAAAGTCAGTTCTATTTGTCTTTACTTGGTGGATTCATAAGGTTTTTATAAATCTAAGGATCAATTGTTTCGATAGGTTTGTACTATTTTTTTCAGTTATCAGAAAGCAGAACAAAATGGTGTCTAGTACCTGTTATTTATTAGAAATGTTAGTTAGTTTCACGTTTAACATCATCAGCTGAGGTAAGTAAACCAAGATTATCAGGTAAATTATCAAAGCATCTGTCTAAAACAATTGTTTATCTTTATCTATTAAGGATAGAATCATACATTCTGGCTTGATCATCATGAAAATTATCACATCTGCGTTAAAGAGCTACTTTAATTTGTTTTATTTTATATTTGTCTTCTTCTAATTTGATCACAATTAAATGGACTTTAAGTAACTCAGAAATATTCTGTTTGATTGTAGTGAAGTTAGAAAGTTGAGGAATGCCAATATGCGATCAGTTTAAATTGTATTTTATTGAAATATCAAAAATTATATTATATATCTAAGATCCGTTTAATGATAGGAAATTAAGACGAATGCATTTTTTTGTTATACGTTGAAACTTTTGTATTAGAACCAATTGTTATAAAGATTCTTCAGTAATATTGGTCTGAGGTCACAAGAATGTTGAGATAAGTACCTTAACAGGATACATTTTTCTGCTGCTTTTTCAATATATCCTTGTATGAAATCTCAGAAGAAATTGAGTGTGTGTTTTGAGTGTAATCTATTGGAAGTGAGGTTGAATAATTGACAACTTCCAAGAAAATTATCTATCTTTTTATTAAATTATATTCAAGAGTTTTCGTCCATAGTATTATAAAGGTAAATTTTCTTTTTGATATATTTTTTATCATTATTTGAAGTGATAAGTTCAGCTATATTTACATTGATAGAGACTATCGAATGATCAGAAATGTTAGGATTAACACTGATAGTTTGGGCTTTGTTAAGGCCTGCTGCAATATGTAATATAGTGTAAATATAATTGATTCTTGAAGGTTAATAGTGTGTAGCATAAAAAAAAATGAGAATAGTTGATTAGTATTATCATATAGGAAATCGAATGAGTTAAAAAGTTGGAAGTCATCAAGTTAGATAAAGAAATAATTAGCATTTGACATATTATTAGAACAATTTGTGACCGCATTTAAGTTTTCTAGTAAAATAATTTTCATGTTGAGGTCTTTCGCTGATTTAATGACGTTGCATACTTCTTTATATGTTTGTTCTCAAAGGGTTGTATTTGAACTTGATATGTAGCAGTTAATTAATCTGATGTAGAATTTGTTGCGAAATTAAAAATCAATAAAAATATAGCGTTCATATTGACCGTGATATTTGTAAATATGATTGGCAATATGTTTTTTTATAAGAAGGCCAACTCTGAAACCTGAATTCAGTGACTGTTAATCGAAATTGAAAAAATGCGAATATTGAGACAAAGTTGATTTTGAAAAGGATAAAATATTATTGGTTGATTTAAAATTTATCTCTTGAAGGGCTATTATATCTAAATGATTAATTTCATGAGTATTGGACAAGAATTATTATTTTTGTGATTAAACAAAAGAGCGAACGTTATGTGTCACAATATTGAGTCGAGAGGATAATGTATTATTAATCAAAAATAAATTGTGAGTAGTGTTAGTATTTGTTGTCTTATTGTTTGCTATCAGGTCACTGAGGTCAATCCATTTATAATTCTGTAAGATATCAATCATTAAAAATATTTAGGGTGAGAAGAGAAAGACATTGTCAGCTGTTTTTTTATAACTAGAAGGAGAAGCGACTTCTTTAATAGCAGTAAAGATGTCTGAATTGATTTTAAGTTATGTTTGTAAGATTCTTTGCATGTTAGTGATAGCGTATCCTGCATTATTGAGTTTAATCATATTATTTTCAAGGTTAGTTTTGAGGAAAGTATTCTCATCTCTTAAGGTAATTAGTTTAGCAGATTATTTAGCAATAATATTATCTTTTGTATAGGAATCAGTAGCATAGGTATGCTCCTCAGTTTCTATACCATTTCATTGAATGATTTGTTTAGTAAATCTGCTTGGTGAGAGAGTAAGACATTGATATTAAGAACTTTTTCAACTGTAGCAACTTGTTTCACAATTGAGCGAATATCTGAATCCATTTTAGTGAGTTGTTCAAAGATAATGAACAGTTGATTGAAAATTTGAGTGAGCAATTCTGGTTAAGATAGTTGGTTTGAGATATTATTTATTATGCAATATTCGTTGTCAGTTTAATCAGCCTAGTGATATGATGCATGTATACTAGCATTTAAAGTTTATTCTTCTTTATCATTAATAGGACAAATGAGGGTGATATGTTGTTGATTATGATTTTTATTTAGTGGTTTGGGCTGAGGAACTTTTGTTCAATGATTGGATAAAATGTTAACATTATCTGACTTAGATTTATCTTTGACGTTATTTTGTTATTAGAGCGGTTTGTGTTTATCTGTAATCAGTAGTTTCTTAAGGTGGAGTAGTAATTTAGAAACAACAATAGGTGCTTTGTAATTATAAAACTGTACAAGCTGGTAGCGTTAGTATAGGTGTTAAGTTTATCAATCTTATGGAACTGAATAGTTTTTGCGACAATTCTGTGATTGGTAGTCTGAAAGTTAGCAGATGAAGCAAAGTTTTACATTTGAATCAGTCCAGATTAATCGTTTTCTATCAAGGAAATAAGTTTTACCATTTTTTGCTGCTTTCATAGATTCTTTAGAATTAAAATAGAATATAGCATATTGTAGATTTCTGTAATTAGCACGTGACTTAGGAATGACCTAGGTAATCACTTCAATAGCATTGCCAATAGAGATTAAA